CAGAGCCCGAACCCGCGTCGGACCGGCGCCGTGCCTCCTAACCTGGTTCCGCTGGTCAACGGGAGCATGCCGCCGGTACATGCACTTAACGGGAGATCCATGCAGATGGGGATCCCCCCCGGTGCTTTGGCGGCGGAGCATGTGGGCAAGCGTGCGGACGACATGAAGGACAAACACCGCGCCGACAGCATGAGCGACCCGAGCGACGGACACAAGCGACTCGAGGACTGGACGCAGAAGGGCAAGACGGTCCGGGAGCTGATGACGCTGCAGAGCTTCGACCCCCGGTTCAAGAAGGAGCATGCACCGCTCCCGCACAGGATGGGATACGAGAGCAGCTCCAGTGCCTTAAAAACAGGTACTGATCATTGCCTTCAAGCTGCGCATCATCCGAATTGTAATCTCATGCATGCACGTAGCTTTTAGAATAAATATTTTAGACATCCATGCATGCATTTTGCGTCTATACATCATTAGTCAACATTTAGAGTAGTTTAAAACATCAGAGCATGCTTTTGAACTCCACATTCTTAACTGTTGTATCTTTAAAATAATGCTACAAAAACTCACAGTCGTGTTCATGCATGCATTTGGCTTTCAAAACATCAAAACGTGCTTTTAAACTCTAGATTTTGTGTGTGGCGTTCAATCTTTGGAATAATTTGAGATGTCAAAACATGCTCCGGATTATTCACAATCGTATTTATTCATGCATTCGCCAGAGCATGCTTTTAAACTCCAGTTTTTGTGTGCACGCTTTTATTTTTTAACTGTGTGCAACATATAGAATGATGTCAAAACTCTATTTATACACGCATTTGGCTTTTAAAACATGCTTTTAAGTTGTAGATTTGTATTTTTTAACCGGAATCGATATTTAGAATGATCTGAGATGTCAAAGCATGCTGTATTATTTTGTATGATTTCAAGCTCTACATATTGTCCACATTGCTATTTAATCAATCTTTAGTATAATTTGGGACGTGCTGTAAAACTCCAGATTATTCACAATCTTATTTACCCATGCATTTGGTGTTTAAAACATCAGAGCATGCTTTTAAACTCCAGATTTAGTCTTTTTTTTTTCCTTTTTAACTGGAACCAGTATTTAAAATAGTTTGAGATGTCAAAACGTGCTGTGAAAACATGCATTTGTGTTTAAATCTGTGTAAAACATCAGAGCATGCTTTTAAACTCCAGATATTGTCATATTTTTTTAACTGGAATCAGTATGTAAAATAATTTGTGAAAACATGCATTTGTCTAAAACATCAGAGCATGCTTTTAAACTCTAAATCATGCATCTTGATTTCTTTTAGTTTATTATTTTGTACTTGCATTCATCAAAGCATGCTTAAAACTCTAGATTGTGCATTCGTAATGTTTGAAAGCATAACAGATGCACTTCGCTGCCATTTCATCACCCGGTGGTCAGCGCATGGCACATTTTGTCTGGAGCCAGAAAATAGTGCCAACAGCAGGTCATGTATGAAGCGCTGAACTAGTGAAGGGCTGTTTAGTCGAGTATTGCGTCTCTAAGTCAAGTGTTTATCTCTCTCTCTCTCCATGCAGACCGCGGTAAGCACTCTCGGGGAATTAAAAGGAAACCCTCTCCCGAGCCGGACGGGGAGGGCAGCGCCGCCAAGCTCAACGGCGAGGGTCAGCCGTGGTTGCCGTCTCCATCCGAGGTGCTTAAGATGCCCTCCGCGGCCCTGCCGGGATTCGCTGCCGCTCCTCCCTCGACGATCTCCCCGCATTCGCGCACCACCCCGCCAGAGGTTGCCACCGCCACGCAGAACGGCCAGTCGCCGATGGCCGCGCTCATTTTGGCCGCGGACAACGCTGGAACCGGCTCGCCTAAAGACGCCGGCAACCAGGTGCACTCCACGACCTCGTCAGCCACGGGACGGCGCAACAGCGGAAGCCCGCAATCGCCCTCAGCCGGACAAAGGCGGCTCGCGCTGGGAACGTCGGGAACGGCGACCGCGCACATCCCAGGCATGGACCCGCAGGCCGGGCATCCGCAGAGCATTCCCGATTCCTCGGTGCCACCCGGAAGCGTGCCGTTGTGCTGCACCCTGTGCCACGAGCGTCTCGAGGACACACATTTCGTCCAGTGCCCATCCGTGCCGTCGCACAAGTTCTGTTTCCCGTGTTCCCGCGAGAGCATCAAACAGCAGGGGGCGACGGGAGAGGTTTACTGCCCGAGTGGCGAGAAATGCCCGCTTGTTGGTTCCAACGTACCCTGGGCGTTCATGCAGGGCGAAATAGCCACCATATTGGCTGGGGACGTAAAGGTTAAAAAGGAGCGGGACCCTTGATTTAGATTTTCGCTCATAATATACACCAATCATATTGCATACCATCCAAACGTGAACTAACCGGACATGTACATATTGAACTTACTAAGGGAACTGTACACTTGGTAAACATGGCTGTATAATTTTTTTGATTTTCCCTTTTTTGAATACATTGTGTTTCTATATTTTTTCCGAAGATAAAACGGTATGTAC